GAATCCCCCCGTCGGCCGGGCGAGCCCGAGCGAGGGAGCGGACGAGCGGAGGAGGAGGCGAGGAATGCTGGACGGGGCGGAGGCTGCAGGTCACGCTGCTGTCGCGCCCCCTCTAGTCTTACGTCGGGCCTGTCCCTGCAGAGGAGGAATCTGCAAAAATAGTGAAGCCTAGTCTGGGGACGATTTGTTTGATGATTGAATCGCTTCGCTCATTCCGCCGGCCCTGGAGCGCTATTTGGGGCCTCTTGGGGCCGTCTTGGGGGCCTCTTGGGGGCTTCTTGGGAGCGTCTTGGGGCTCCTTGGCGGCGTCTTGGGCTCCCCTGGGGCCTCTTAGGGGGCTCTTGGGGGCCCCTTGGGGCGGGAGGGGGGGTAGTCGATTGCAGCCACCCCCTCGGAGGCCACGATCCTCGTGAGGGGTGGCGAAAAATGGCCCCCCCCTGGGGATCGCCCGGGACCCGGCCGGGGATCGGCCGGGGCACTTTTCGTCCGGGGGCCCCCAGGGGCGGCCCCGCGCGCGCGAACTAGAAATATTGTTAAGTAGTTACCGGAGATCTCAGCACGCCTCTGGCCCGTGGGGCCGGCGAATTCTGCTGCATCTTTAAAGCATGTTTGGGGTACACCCTAGGCGATGCTTAAGAAAACGTGAGTTTTCGGCCAGAGTCTCGATTATTCTTATTTTTGTCCATGTAATTCCCAAACTTTTACTAGAAATTCCCTACCTAGGCTCTGCCTAGAAGGGTTCTTACTCTGTTAGCTTAAGGGGCCGGGCAATGGAAAGCGCCCCGGGCGGTTCCCCCAGTCCCCGCACCGCGGTTCCCCCAGTCGCGCCCCCTTAGCTTGGCTTAGCTTATCTCGTCTTAGCTTAGCTTGGCTTAGCTTAGCTTGGCTTAGCTTAGCTTAGCTTGGCTTACCTTAGCTTAGCCTAGCTTAGCTTAGCCTAATGTAGCTTAGCTTAGCGTAACATATCATAGCATGGCATAGCATAGCACAGCATAGCATAACATAGCACAGTATTGCATAGCTTAGCATAGCTTAGCATAGCTTAGCATAGCGTCCCCTTAGCTTGGCTTAGTTTTAGCTTTGGCTGTAGCTTTAGCTTTAGCGTAGCTTTAGCTTAGCTTTAGCTTAGCTTTAGCTTAGCTTTAGCTTGGCTTTAGCTTAGCTTTAGCTTAGAGTTAGCTTAGCTTTAGCTTAGCTGTAACTTAGCTTTAGCTTAGCTGTAGTAGCTTATATTTAGCTTAGCGCTAGCTTAGCTGTAGCTTAGCGTTAGCTTAGCTGTAGCGTAGATATAGTTCAGCGTTAGCTTAGCTTTAGCTTTGCGTTAGCTTAGTTTTAGCTTAGCTTTAGCTTAGCGATGCAGTAGCTTGAGTTTAGCTTGAGTTTAGCTTTAGCTTGGCTTGAGCTTAGATTTAGCTTAGAGTCAGCTTAGCTTCAGCTTAGCTTCAGCTCAGATTTAGCTTAGCTTGAGCTCAGACTTAGCTTAGCTTCAGCTTAGCTTTAGCTTAGCGTTAGCTTAGCTTCAGCTTAGCGTTAGCTTAGCTTTAGCTTAGCGTTAGCTTAGCTGTAGCTTAGCTTTAGCGTAGTTTTAGCTTAGCGGTAGCTTAGCTGTAGTTTACCTTTAGCTTAGCTTTAGCTTAGCTTTAGCTTAGCTTTAGTTTAGCTTCAGTTTAGATTTAGCTTAGCTTTAGCTTAGCTTTAGCTTAGCGTTAGCTTAGCGTTAGCTTAGCTTTAGCTTAGCGTTAGCTTAGCGTTAGCTTAGCTTTAGCTTAGCCTTCGCTTAGCTTAAGGTTAGCTTTAGTTTAGCTTTAGCTTAACTTTAGCTTAGCTTGACCTTGGCTTTAGCCTAGTGTTAGCTTAGCTTTAGCTTAGCTTTAGCGTAGTCTTAGCTTAGCTTTAGCTTAGCGGTAGCTTAGCTTTAGCGTAGCTTTAGCTTAGCTTCAGCTTAGCTTCAGCTTAGCTTTAGCTTAGCGTCAGCTTAGCGTCAGCTTAGCTTTAGCTCAGCTTTAGCTTAGCTTTAGCTTAGCTTTAGCTTAGCTTTAGCTTAGCTTTAGCTTAGCTTTACTGTTACTACTAATGTTGCTTTCCTAGGGGCTCCAACTCCTAGGTAGGGTCGCACTGGGATAATTTAGGTTTTGTGTTCAAATGTTGAGACTCTGAATTCCTTAAGCCATGATTTCTTAAGCATTTCGCAGGGGGTATGTTGGATTTTTCGCCCCATATCCCCCTGTAGGAGGGCACGCCCGACCTAAATCTGACCCCCCTCGCACGCCGTCGCCGGCGTTGGACCCGGGAGCTGCGCGTGGACTGACGCTCCCCTGGTTTCGCTCGTGTGTGTGTGTGCTTGTGCGGCCTGTCTCTCCGTCCTCCTCCGCGGCCGCTCTCCTCCGGTGTCCCCTGGCGAGGCGTTGCCCGAGGGGCCCTCGCGTGCCGGGGAGGATCGGGCATAGCCAGGACCCCGGGTAAGGGGACCCGGTTCGTGGTAGGGCCCTGGGGCCCCTCAGTTGGCCAGATTCACTAAACCAGGTTTGCCGTAACTGGTGTTTTTCGTAGGGCGACGAGATCTATGCATATCCACTGCTCCTGGCCAGGCCCATCCTGGGCCCAGGAGCGGTGTATATGCCTCCCTGGCCAAGCCAGGAGGGCGTATACACAGCTCTTGGGCCCAGGATTGGCCTGGCCAGGAGCAGTGGATATGTATAGATATCGTCGCCCTATTTCGGGTGACGGCAGCTCCGGTTAGTGGAAATGGGGCGGGGGTGGCGCCCCCGGTACAAATCACTAAACCAGGTTCCGCTAAACCCAGTTCTGCCAACGCCCGAGAGGAGATTCGGTGGGCGTCAGGCCTGGCCGGCCGGCCGTCCTCGGGTTCACCGGTCTTCGTTTCTCGGTCCCTGGATCCTGGTTCCTCGCCGGCCTCCTCTCGGGTTCCTTGGCTCCTTGGCTCCTGGGCCTTGCTTTCATGGTCGTGGCTCCGTTGTCTGGGCGCCTTGGTTCCATGGTCTTGCCTCATTCTTTCCTCGCTCTTGGTTCCTTGGTTCCTTGATCTCGGTGCCTTGCTACCTCGCCACTCAACGCCAAGCAACCCCCAGCAACGACAAGCAATGCCAAACAATGCCAGGCAATACCAAGTAATGCCAAGCAGTGCCAAGCAATGCCACGCAAGGCGCCAAGCAATGCCACGCAGAGCGCCCGAGCAACAGGAAGATGTCCCCTAGTTGGGGTCGCGCCGGGCTCATCTGCCAGTGCTGGTGCGCAGTTAGCTCGGCCGCGTCCCGGCTGTTGCCGTCCGACGCTTCGTGCCGTCCTGCCGCCGCTGACAGAAAAGCGCCTGCGCAGCTTGATGCCATGCAGAATTCCTCGATCCCGTCCGTCCAGTCGGGCGAGGAGGGAGGAGGAGGGGGAGGAGGTGGGAGGGGGGAGGAAGAAGAAAAAAGATGAGGAGAGGAAGAAAAATAAGAAGAAGAGGAAGAGGGGAGGATAACGATATATAAGAATAAGAAAATAATACGAATTTCAATGATAATAGTAGTAGTAGTAATAATAATAATAATAATAATAATCCTAGTAATTATATTAATAAATAATTATATATAACACAATAATAATAATAATACTATTTATTAATAATAGAAGAAGAAGAAGGACGACGAAGAAGAAGAAGAGGAGGAGGAGGAGGAGAGGAGGTGGAGGGTGCCCGGCGCCCCCCGTCCTCCGTGCTGCCTGGCCCCTCCCTCGCCCCCGTCCCCCCCCCGCCCCCTGCCCCCCCCCCCCCCCGACGCTCGCTCTCCTCGCGGCGCCTGGCGTGCGCGTGCTCTTCTCGTGGCGGGGCGCGCGCGAGACGACGGCGCGTGTCGCCAGCTGGCGGCCGCGCGCGAGCAGCGGCGCGCGCCTGCCGCGCGGGCCTCGCCTCCCCCGGGGGGGGCGAAGGGAGGCGCGCGCGCTCGGCATCCCCCCCCCCCCCAGGGAGGAGGAGGAGGAGGAGGAGGAGGAGGAGGAGGAGGCGAGGGGAGGAGGAGGCTCCTGTTATTCGGCCTGGTGCTGCGGCGTCCCCCACGTGTGCCGCCCTGCCTCCCTCTTCTCTCTCGGTTACCCCCCCCCCTCCACCCCCCTCCCGCCCCCCCGCCCCTGGATCGTCCACCTCAATCTCCTCATCGCTCGCTCTACCTTCCCCCTCCCCCCTCGACGTTGCCCTTCCCCCTCCCCCCCTTACCTTCTGCCCCGCCTCCCCCCCTTCCCCTTCCCATCCTCCCCCGCCCTCCCGACCAGACCCCGCTCAGCATCAGCAGGTTGTCCCAGCCCGGGCAGACGTTTGACAGCCCCGGGGGACCGAAACGGGACTCTAGAGGCAGCACGCGGCGAACGGCTTCCTCCCCGAAGATCGGGCCTCTATCGTCCTCCGCTCCCACTGGCCCTTCCCGTTCTTCCCCCGTCGCCTCCCCCCCTCCCGTCGAGCCTGGTGACTAGGCCAGGGAGAACCTGGCCCCGATCCCACACGCGGAGGACGCCGCCGTATTCTGCTAATTAGGTGCGTCTTCGTTGTCGTCGTCGTCGTCGTCGTCGTCGTCGTCGTCGTCGTCGTCGTCGTCGTCGTCGTCGTCGTCGTCGTCCTCAAAGGAGTGTGGGGGGGGGGGGGCGGCAGGAGGAAGATAAGAGGAGGGAGGAGGAGGAGGAGGAGGAGGGAGAAGGAGAGAGGGAGGGAGGGATGACCAAGAGGAGGAGAGTGAGGAGTGAGGAGAGGAGGAGGTGGAGGAGCTAGGAGGAGGAGGTGGTGGAGGAGGAAAAAGAGGAGGAGGGAAGAGGAGAAGGAGGAGGAGGAGGAGAGGAGGGGAAGAAGGCGGGAGGAGAAGAAAAGGGAAAAAATGCGAGTAGGTAGGCGCAGGAGGAAGGGGGGCAAAGGCGGAGGGCGTGGGGGGGGGAACAATTAATGATCAATTGAATCGGTGGAACCGCCACTGCCACGCAAACGCAACGAATCGAAAGATGGTGTGGCAGAGTGCACGATGGGCATACAATCGGCATTTGACAAGTACTTCGAAGTCACCGCAGAGTCTGCGGAGGAGAATATGGTTGTCCAACTGATGGCGTTGAAAACTGTAGTGGTAATGAAGCAGGCTCCCTCGTTGCTGGAGTTTTGACTGACGGAGGGGCGCAATCGTCATTCAAGCTGCTGCACGCACAATGGCACAGTTTGAACTGCGAGGCCATTGTTCCCCTGGCAGAGGCAACAGGATCGGAGAGCGCGCATCTGTTGCGCGGATCCAAGAAATTCGCGCGAAGTGCCAAAAGTTTATGTTTCTGTGTTTGTTTCTTCTTCTAGAGGGTTCTGTCACTCTGCGCGCGCGCGCGTGCGTCACGATGGCCTCCTGCCCGGGCGTCAAGGAGATCCTCCTGCGCCATCAGCCGACGTACATGAAGCCTCCGAAGTACCACGCCCTCGACGATCTGGAGGGGCCCTGGGCGGGCACGCTTCTCATCCCTTCCCACCTCCCTGCCGTCCTCACTTCGTTCCCCCCGCCCTTCCCCCAGCTCATGCTGCCGCTGATCATCCTCATTCCCCTTCCCCCTTCGTGCAAACGTCACCAGCACCTGCTCCAACGCTGGGGTCCGTCGTGCGAGCCATGTCGGCCAGTTGAGGGCCAAAGAGTGCTTGGGGACGGCCCGGGTGGCGAAAGTTGACCGCGAGACCTTCGGGCTGCACGAGGCCCCTGGCTACTCCTTCGACCGCTCTACTTCAGCGATGGTCACGACAGTCCTCCTCTTGCTCTCCTTCTCCTCCTCCCCTCCCCTCCCCTCCTCCTTCTCCTCCTCCTCCTCCTCTCCTCTCTCTCTCCTCCTCCTCCTCCTCCTCCTCCTCCTCCTCCTCCTCCTCCTCCTCCTCCTCCCTGGGACCCCTCTCCCTCCTCGCCACCTCTTGAGGGCGTGCGCGGATGTTCTCTGCGCCGTCGGCCCACGCAGCTGCAGCGCACGAGCTACAGTGCCCTGTGCGGACTGGGAGGGGAGCTCTGGGGCACTTTCGCCGCCTATGACGCCGCGTCCAAACACCACGCTGGCACACCACGCTGGAGCTCGCAGTGCCACAGCACGGCGCTAGGCACAACGGCCAAAAGCAGCGCTCACACACACCGACACGCAATGCCAGAACACCACGCCGAAACGTGCCCCGCACCTTCAGGCACCACCCAGCACTTCCTCCCGATTCCCGCCTCATCCTGCTTCCTCCTGCCTCGTCCTGCGCCTCTTATCTGCCTCCTACACCATGCCAGAACTCCATTCTGAAGCGCCATGCTAAAACGTCTTCTTAATTCCTACTGTCTCCCATACCATCCTGCCTCATCCCACCTCCTCCCCTCGTGCACCTACCTCCGCCCCCTCCCCCTTCCCTGATGCCTCCCTTGTCGTCATCCTCCTCCTCCGTAGCCGGCTCGACCCAGGCTTTCCCTGACGCTTGTGCATCGGACTCTTCTTCTCCCACAGTCCCCGCAGGTTTGCTCTTCGCAGTGGCGGCCCCCCGTTCGGCCATCCTGACCGCGGCCGGCGTGCTCGCCTGCGCCAGTCTGATGGCCATATTCGGGCCCTCGCCTGTCGCGCTGCACCGCACGTCCCGTTCGGCACCGCCTGAATCCCCGGGCCCCGCCCCTCCTGGCCGCGTGAGGCCTCAGCCTGCTCTCGCCCCCTCTCTGTCAATGAAAGCTAGGCGCGTCCCGCGGAGCTTTTCGCGGAAGAGGCTCGCTCTCGCCCTGCAGATCAAAAAGAAAAACAGTCGCGCTGCACCCGATAGCGCCTCGCTGCCAGCAGCGGCGTGCAGCGCTGCGGCGCTTGCGGCGCCAACCGCCGCCCACGCGGAGGGCTCCAGCGTGTGGACCCTGGCGCTGCCTGCCGTCGGCGCCGGCTTCGCCATCGGGCTCGTCGCCATCGGATCCGGAGTTGGCCAGGGCATGGCCTCCGCCGCTGCAGCGACGGCATCAGCCGCCGGCCGGAGGTGGCCGAGCCAGAAGCGTTCCTCGGAGAGGGCCTCCCAGTGGCGGAGGCGGGGGGCGTCGTCTCGCAGAGCCGCTCCGAGCACAACACCCCGGAGGAGCTGAGCAGCACGAGCAGCAACGAGGGCGGCGGCCGCCGCTCGACTGGTCACCGACGCGACTCTGTGTAGTACGTGCTGGCCTCTTGCCCCGCGGCTCGCCTGCTGCTGCGGCGCAGCCTGGCGCGCCGCAGCGCGGGCACTCGGAGGCAGAGGCGCCTCGCGGTTCAGCGCAAGCGGTATGGCACCCTCACGAGCGAGTCGGCGCCACCCACCAGCGGATGGCGTGCGATATTTCGGCTTGGGCCAGGCGCGTCCGGGCCCACGACAGCGCCCACCGCCACGCCTCCAAGTGCCGACGGCGTTGCAGGCACAGGGCGCCAGCGGACGTCCCCGAGATGCCCTGTGGTGCTGCTGCGCGTGGGTCTGTCACCCTCGCGCCCTGGTGGAGCATCCGTACCGCGGCGCGCGCTGGCGGCGACGTCCAGGGCCGCGTGAAGCGGCTGCGGACTCTCGGCGTGGGACGCGCCTGCCGCTTCCACACCGGCCAAGCGAGCACAGCGGAAGGCCAAGCTCGGCGGCAGGAGGAACGAGGGCACGGCCGCGTCCAACGGCCGCCAGCACCCCTGCTGACGAACGACCCCCCCGCCCGACGGTCCTCGGAGGGCGGGGAGGCCAAGGGCGAGGGCGTACCCTTGGTACCACGAGTGCCGCGTCGGCGAGGCAGGCCATCCTGGCCCACCCGCCACCCGCCGCCGGCGGCAGGACCAGCTGCGAGTGATGGTCGGGCAACGTGCAGGGCCCTTGATCGCGCAGCGACGAGGACCAGTTCGAGGTGATCGTCGGCCGGAGGCGCGAGCCCAGACGCACCTGGACGAGCAACAAAAAAAGTGCGAGGCCCCTCCCGCGCGCGCGGGCGGTGGGCCTCGGCTCGCGCATCAGCTCTCCGGGCTCGCCGCGGAGGCCAGGAGTCTCCATCGTCGGCCCCGCCGTGGTGAAGAAGGACCCGTGCCATCGGCCCCCCATCCCTCGACGGCAGGGTGGTCAGCACCGTCCTCCCGACCAAGGGCAGCACCCGCGTGTGGCTCAGCGGCGTCCACGGCGACGTTCACAGCCTCGAGAACCGCGCCGGCACGTGCGAGAACATTGCGAAGCGCGTCTGCCTCTCCAGCCTGCCCGCGTGCACGGCGAGCGACTGACACTGCCAGCCTGGCAACGCGGAGCTCACTCCATGCTCGGCGCCCTGGCGTGGAGCTAGGCCTGCCCGCCTCCACTATCCACGGGGGCCGCCGCATCGACTACGGCGCCGTCTGGCTGGCGCCGCCGCGACCGACGTCCTCGCGACCCCCAGGATCGGGGGCCACGACGCCGTCAGCTGCGAGCTGGAGGTCGGCACCCGAGTCACCGCCCAGGCCGTGCTGGAGCACCCGCGCCTCCACCCGCCCTCGGACCTCCGGGAGCGGGGTGCCGAGTCCCGCGGCGCCGTGGCCCACCGCCTGGGCCGCCGGGGCGGCGCCGCTGGAGACGGCGACGTCGACGAGACGGGCGCGGCCTGACTCGAAGGAGGAAAAGCGGCATGAGCATAAACTTTTGGCGCTCCGCGCGGGTTCCTTGGAGCCTCCTCCTCCGCCTTCTTCTGCTGATGCATCTCGTCCGCGGCGCGGCTCTCACCGCCGCGGCCACGAGCACCCCGTCCGCCGCGCCGAGCGCTCCGTCGAGCCCTCGGTCCGCAGGGCCTGCTCGGGGGCGCCGCGGAGGGCCTCGGCGTCGACGGCGTGGCCGACCTCGCCCGCGCTGAGCAGCGGACCCAGCACCCGAGCAACCACATCGCCATCGCGAACTGGGGCGACAGGCTGGAGAAGTCACTCCTCCAGCCCGTCGTCCCATGGCCAGTGGCGCGCGTTTACGCGGGGGGGGGGGAGGGGGCGCGCGCCATGCAGGTTTCCCCCGCGGCGACGCACGTGCCTTCGCTCGCGTGCCCGCGCGCGCCCGCGTCGTCGTAGCGCGCGCATTCGGAAATTATTATTTTTCATTGTCCAAGAACCCGAAACAATTCCTCGCAATGCATGCTGAGACCTGGCAGCCTGAGGAGTGGCCCCACCGCCAGGAGGGCAGACACCTCTCGGGCATCGCAAAGTTCACGCGCGACGGCGCCGACGCCGCGGGCCCCGCGGCCAACGACTCCGACTTGTGCGCGAGAGCCAATCCACGCCTCGCGATGAGCGATGCGCTGAAGGCCTGGAAGAAGCAGCAGCTCTCACACCTGGAGCCCGAGGACCACGAGCAGCACGTCGACGAGGCCAGGCCGCACGGCGAGCGCGTGCCGCCTCCGCCGCCGCGGGGGTGCACGGTGGACGACCTGCGCAAGGCCCTCGAGGACGCGGCCCACCCCGCTGCGGTGCCAGGCCAGTGGGACGCCGGCTTCCTCGCGAGGGCCCCCGACGTCGCCCTTGGCCTCCTGGCGCAGATCGTCGGACGCGATCAAACGAGCACGACGGCGGCCGGGGGTCCCGGAGGCACACGAGGTCTCGATGATACTGGAGCCTCGCGGGGCGTCCTCGCTCGACTTGAGGCCCATGTGGGTTGCGCCATCGGTCGCGCGCGCGCGCCGTCGAGGGTGGCGGTGCGCATCTCCGAGACACGGGGCCGCAGGGTGCAGGCCACGGACGTCCGAAGCTCTCTCCTGGAGGTCGGCTTCTGCGCGGCCCGCGCCAAGGCCCACATCGCTTGCACGCGCTGCAGGCAATCGGACCGGGCCAACTGCCTCGGACACAGCCAGAGCTCGCGACGAAAGGCGCGCGCAGCATGGGCATTCCCGAGGACGACTGCTGGCTCCTCTTCGGCAACCGCGTCGGCAGAGACGCCGTCGTGAAGACGACGGGCTGCGGCCGCCCTCCCCTCCTCCCTCCCGCTCCTCCTCCCTCCTCCCTCCCCTCCTTCTCCCCTCCCACCTCTCCCTCCGCCCCCTCCTCCGCCCTCCTCATCGCCCTCCGCCCTTGCCCCATCCCCCCCCGCAAGAGCAGGACTCCCGCCCTCCGCCCTGCTGCCCCTACTCCCCGCCTCCCCCCCCCCCTGCTGTCCTCCCCGGACCCCCCCCTCCTGCGGGGAGGCCCGCTGGACGACCCGCGGCGCCGGCGGCGGGTCCGCGGCCAGCTCCTCCGGCCACGCGCGGGGCGCGCGCCGGGGCGAAGGCCGCCGTGGCACGCGTCGCCGCCGCCGCCAGCACTCGTCGTCGTCGTCGTCGTCGTCGTCGTCGTCGTCGTCGTCGTCGTCGTCGTCGTCGTCGTCGTCGTCGTCGTCGTCGTCGTCGTCGCCGCCGCCAGCACTCGTAGTCGCCGTCGTCGTCGTCGTCGTCGTCGTCGTCGTCGTCGTCGCCGTCATCGTTGGCGGTCTGGCAGTCCACTTGCGCCTTCCACGGACCTTTTCGGCGTTACGTGGCCGAGGAGCAAGGGGAAAAAGAAGGAGGGTGGAGAGAGGAGGAGGAGAGGTGGAGGAGGTGGAGGAGGAGGAGGAGGAAGTGAGGAGGCAGGGGAGGAGGAGGAGGAGGAGGATGGAGGAGGAGGAGGTGGAGGAGGAGGAGGAGGAGGGAAGGAGGAGGAGGAGGAGGAGGAGGGGGAGGAGGGGGAGGAGGAGGAGGAGAAGGAGGAGGAGGAGAAGGAGGAGTTGGAGGGAGAGGAGGGGGAGGACCAGCGTAAACCCAATATCCACCAACGATATTGCAGTAAACAATCCCTCCAAGTTCTCTCTTCATAGACCCCTTCAAGGCATATTCACTGAGGGAAGTGCCCCGCTAAAGGACAACCGTTTGAAAATCGCGAACTGTGCCAGAACTCAGTTCGTGTGACTTCAAAGCCGCAAGTCACCCTTACTGCTGCGTCTTGACGATCTTGATTCGTTCCAGAACACCATTTCAACTCCGCGAATCAACGTAACTGTCGCGCCCTGACAGTCCTACATCGAGCCTAAACACAAGTTTTGGGGCGTTAGCCATTGGAATCTCTGAAACGGCTGTAAATTCTTGCAACGGATCTGCGCGACGCCAAGGCGAGAGCCACTGCTTGAAATGGAGCCGCGCTCCATCCATGAAGGTCGTTCATCTTATAAGACGAGTAGGCGCGGCGCTCGCGCAAGGGATACATTCCGAGAGCGGCCGCCCTCCATCCGCTACACGTCTGCAGACTCTCAACACGGAGGCGCGCGGGGCAGCGGCGAGAGCCACGTGCTGGAGAGGAGCCGCCCTCGGTCCGGGAAGCTGCTTTTGCATCCTGTCGCGGCGGCTGCGCGCGGCGCCGGGGCGAGGGCCGCACGCTTCGAGAGCGGCCCGCCCTGCGTCCATGCGTGCAGCGGCTGCGGGCTTCTAAGACGAGTGCGCGCGGCGCTGAGGCGAGAGCCGCACCGTGAACGTAATTATGCCGCCCTCCATCCGTTGAGGCCCCTAGTCCTCCTTCTCCTCCTAGTCCTCCTCCTCCTCCTCCTCCTTGCTCCTCGTCCTCCTCTCCTCCTCCTCCTCCTCCTCCTCCTCCTCCTCCTCCTCCTCCTCCTCCTCCTGCTACTCCCTGCTCCTCGTCCGCCTCTCCTCCTCCTTCTCCTCCTCCTCCTCCTCCTCCTCCTCCTCCTCCTCCTCCTCCTCCTCCTGCTACTCCTGCTCACCCCTCCTCCTCCCTGCTTCTTGCCTCGAGTGGGCGCGGCGCTCAGGCGAGAGCCGCGGCTTGAAAGCCGCCCGCCTTCCGTCCGTGAGACGCCTGCGAGCTCTCGGCGCAATGATCAGATAGGGCGAGGAGGTTTCGGGCGAAGCGCCTGGCCCGCCCCACCGACACGCCTGGGGACGCGACAGGGAGACGTGATTTCTAACGAGAAGGAATGGGGAAGGAGAAGGAGGAGGAGAAGGAGGAGGACGAGGAGGAGGAGGAAGAGGAGGAGGGAGGAGGAGGAGGAGGAGTGGGCGATAGCTCCCGCGATCGCTGCAGCTGCTTGTGACGCGACCCGCGCAGCGGCCTGGCCGACCAGGCCTAGAGGACGTCGCTCAGCTCTGTCATCGCCTGCTCCTGGCACTGAGTGGGAGCAGCGGCCGCCGGGCGGCCACCTAGCACGCATCCCTGGTCCGAGCATCTTTCTGAGGGCGCCTTGCCTGCCCACTGTGCACCCTATGCTCTCGTGGATGCCGCCACACCGCGGGCGACGAGCCGGGCGTCGGGCTGGGCTTCGGGTGCGGCGGTGGTCCAGGCCCCTTCCTCCTCCTCCTCCTCCTCCTCCTCCTCCTCCTCCTCCTCCTCCTCCTCCTCCTCATCCTCCTCTTCCTCCTTTCGCCTCGCTCCTCCTCCTCCTCCTCCTCCTCCTCCTCTCCTCCTCCTCCTCCTCCTCCTCCTCTCCTCCTCCTCCCCCCTCTCCACTTTCTCCTCCTCCTCCTCCTCCTACTCCTCCTCCTCCTTCTCCTCCTCCTGATACCAGCGGCCCCTCGAGGTGTGTGATGGTGCGACCCCGCTCTGCGCGCCTCGCATAACTGCAAGCTGTGCTCTGTATGCATGCGTACTTACTGGCCGTGCCACATGGCAGGCCTCGCCTGCAGGTGCGCCCCGCAAGCACTCCATCCCGCCCAGGAAGGCCGGTGAGCATGTGAACCAGATGGCCGTGGACGGCGGCGTGAGCCAAAACGGTTATGGGGCGGGGCGGCGGAAGGAGAAGGGATTGCGGCGCCCATGTGCCCATCTGTGCTGAAGACTGTAAGGTGCATCGCAAGACAGGCGAAGAGCCGCCTGGCCCACCCAAGCCCGCAGAAGAGACACAATGACCCCCTCGGTGCGAGCGCTGCTTGATGGAAAATGAGAAGTCCGCGCCCGCGGCGGGCTGCCGTGTCTTACACCTTCTCGAGAGGGGGAGGGGGGCGCGAGGCTTTCTGTAGCACGCCCTCGCGCGACCCGCCCGTGACCCGCGCCCGCGGGGGCCCGCGACGCCGGCGGCGGGCCGTGGCAGCGGAGCGCGCCGTCTGCGCCAAGGGCGGCGCGCGGGGCTCCTCCGCAGAGCTGCGCCCCATGGCTCGAGCGCGGCGCCCGCTTTGGCGGGAACTTCGGGATCGCGGGTCGCTCTGCCGGCTCCGGCCGCGCTTCGGCGCGGCACGTCGTGTTTTGTTCACCTACGTCGAGCCATGGAGGAGGTCTCGACCCATTCCCCAGGGCCGGCTTCTCATCCTGAGTCGTTCCCAGAGATCCAACGCATTGACAAAAATCACGACGGAGATTTTTCTCAATTTTCGGCCTCTAGCGGCCCTCGCTGGGCCCGGGGACTGTCAAAAAACGACTCAGGATGAAAAACCGGTCCTGGGGAATGGGTCGAGACTTCCGGGGACCCCGTAGCGAAAAAATCACGACGTCGGATCTCTGGGTTCTCTGCCAGTCCCGGGGCCTGGCGAGGGCCGCTACAGTGGCCGAACAGTTGGAGACACCTCCGCCTTGATGTTTTCAATGCGTTGGATCTCTGGGCACTTCGCGGGCCCCGAGCGTCAGCGTCCCGAGCCTGTCGAGGCCTCCCGCTGCGCGGAGCGCCGCGGCGCGGCATCCGCTCGCACGGGACAGCGTGTGGCCGGGCCTGCCGGGCCCACACGCTTAAGGCAAGAGGTCTTCACCGCCTATCAACCCAGACCTGCTCGCGTCGTACAAATAATCCAGGACGGGAGATTGTCCGTCGGTTTCGGCCTCATGGAGGCTCTCGCCGGGCCCCGGGACCGTCAAGGAACGACGCTAGGGTGAGAAGCCGGTCCCGGGGAAGGGGTCGGGACGTCCGGGGACGCCGTGCTGGATAAAATCAGGACGTCGCCGCACGTCTGGGATGATGGGCGCGTTTTCCACTCACCGCCACCATAAGTTGGAGGGGGGAAGGGGGAGGAGGACAACGAGGAGGAGGACGAAGAGGAGGAGGAGGAGGAGGAGGAGCAGGAGGAGGAGGAGGAGGAGGAGGAGGAGGAGGAGGAGGAGGAGGAGGAGGAGGACCACCTCCCCCTCCAACTTGTGGTGGTGGTGGTGGAAAACACGCCCATCATGGGAAGCTGTGCGGTCTCGCTCGTGCTCGGGCGCGTCGCGCCTGTCCCGTGCGGCCAGCCGTCGGAGGCCGGGCCCGGGTCGGAGCGGGCGCCCGCTGGGTCGCCGCGAGGGGGGCAGGCGCCCAGCCTGAGCTTCGGGTCGTGCCGGCGCCGGCCGCAGCGTGCCGGCAGGCGGGGGCAGAGGTGGGGGCGGGCGGGCCCCGCGGGCGCGCGCCGGGGGGCCCCCCGTGGCCCCGGCCGCACTCGCATCCGCGGCTGCTCCCGGGTCTGCTCCTGCATGCTCCCCGCTTCTCCGCGGCCCCTCCCCTCCCCCCGCCCCCCCTCGTTTCTGGGCCCTGGCCTCGAGCAGTTCCCGGCGCGCGTCTGGGCCTCCTGCTCTTCCCTTCTTCCTCCGCGTCCCTCCCCTCCCCCGCCGCCGTGTTGGCTCGAGCTTCCACCGCGGCACTCTGTGCAGTGGGCTCTTTTTTTTCCCGCGTCCCCCGCAGGCTTGCTCGCGGCAATGGCTGCCCCTCGCTCCACCATCCTGACCGCGGCCGTCGTGCTCGCCTTCACCAACCTGATGGCGGCCTTCGTGCCCTCGCCAGTCGCGTCGCGCCCGACAGCGCTCGGGGTTCCGGAGACGGGGGTCAATGCAGACGGGGGTCAGCCAGGGCACCAAGCCTTGCGGTGCAGTTTTTGTTCCTGCATTGCAGTTTATTCGTTTCCTGCTGACCCGGGTCTGGACTGACCCGGGTCAGCAGATCCTTGAAGCGCAGTCGCTGCCGACGGCGGCGCTCAGCGCGGTTGCGCTCGCGGTGGATCCTGGTACTGTCTGCCATCGGCGCTGGCTTCGCCATCGGGGTGGCCGCCATCGGGTCCAGAGTTGGCCAGGGCCTCTCCTCCGGCCGCTGCATCGACGGCATGAGCCCCCAGACAGAGGTGGCCGACGACGCCTTCCACGGATTGGGCCTCCACGTGGCCACGTGGTGAAGGGGGGGGGGCGTCACCGACGACCCGTCGAACCTTCCCCAAGGACACCTGTAGTCATCTACGACAGCGCGGCCTGGCCGCCATGCCCGCACAGCGACCCCCCACTGGTAGAGCAGGCTGGAATCACTGCGCGGGGACCCGCCCGCGCGTTCCCGCTCTCGTGACGAGCACTGGCTCCCCACCTGTGGGTCCCCAGGCCGGCCATCCGGCCCCGTGCTGGGGGCCTCTTGGATCGACACGGCGAAGACCCGCGAGCACGCCGATGGGGTCTGCCCAGACAAACTGCTCCAGATGCATCATCGCTGCATAATGACTCTAGCGGGACCAGGTCACCGGATGGCGATCGGCGCCCTGCAAGCGAACAGCTCAGCGCGCCTGGTCACTCCAACACCCACTTTGGGCCGGTCTCGCCTGCCGCCTGGGTCCCGCCAGGAAGTGGCGGGCGGGTCGCCGCCAGCTTGGGGCATGTACGAGCCGACCAGGCAGCGTTGACTGCGGGAGCTCATCTTCTGTGTTTGCCCGATGTTGACGCGGGCTGAAATATCGAGGGACTTGGTCGCCCTCGGCACGAGGCCACTGGCCGCGCAGGCCCCGAGTTCAGCCGTGCTGGGCTGTTGGGTTGCTCGCCTGCCTCCCCTGGTGCGCCCGAAGGTCCTGGCTGGGGCTGGTGTTGCGGGCTTATTCGAAGAAGAAGGACAAAACACATAAACATAAGCTTTTGGCGCTCCGCGCGGATTTCTTGGATCCGCGCCTGGGCCCCCCAGCAGCGCCTCTGGCGCCGCCCCTGACACGCTCCGCGCACCAGGGAGGGGGGTCCAGCGCGAATACGAGAAGTCCGCGCGGAGCGCCGAAAGTTTCTGTTTGTGTGGTCCTTCCTTCTTTTGTGCAACTGTGTCTTTCTCAGTTCGCGGGGGGCGGAAACTCAAGGAGCACTCTTGCGTCTCGCACGGCGCAGCCAAAGTTCAGTTGGCCCGCACGTGCGCCGCCCCTCCCCACCCGCGGGGCCACGTCCTCGAGGGCCTCCAGCGCCGCGGGGTCGGGCGTCGTCGAGGGCGGCTGGGCGCCTCGAGGGCAGCCAGGACGCGTCGCTCGTCGAGTCTGGCAGCCTGGCTGCCCCCCTGAGGATCTACATGTGGCCGTCGACCTGCGCGGCGTTCTCCTCCTGTCCTTCGCCTTTATGCGGTCGCTGAAGATATGCGGGCTCGTCGTTGCGTTGGTGCTGCTCTTTGCCAACCCGCAATCCAGCAGGTTGGGAGAGCATGCCGTCTATATGCGGGGGAAGCTGCTCTGAGAGCAGGGCAATCTCCTCCTGCCCCTCTGGTGCCCGGCTGGCACCTGTCTGTTTTAGTACCTTGGTTTTGAATTGGCCATACTCTTGTAAGTTTGAGTTGTAGAAGGCAGGGGTCGGTCGTGAGGATGGCGGGGGAGGAGAAGGAGTATGGGATGAGTAGGAGGTGGGGAAGAGTGGCAGTGAATGCTGACGGGGAGGACATTATTCAGAGAGGAGGAGGAGTAGGAGGAGGAGGAGGAGGAGGAGGAGGAGGAAAAAGAGGAGGATGAGGGGGAGCAGGAGCAGGAGGAGGAGGAGGAGGTGAGACCCGCCTTGAGGCTTATCTGGAGGCTTCCTAGCCTCTTGGGGACAAAGAATGACACATGCAATCAGCAGTGAAGAACGCAGCTGTCAAGCGTTCTGCTGCCAGGAGGCGTTGTGGGTGCCAACTGGGGCAAGCTCGATGGCGGTCTGGTGGCGTTCCGATGCTCCTTTTCCATCATTGGAGTCGGTTGCATTGTGCCGTCTTGCAGACTTCGGAAACATGTTCGGGGTATTCCCCCTCCTCTTCCTCTTTCTCCTCCTCCTCGTCTTCCCCCTCCTCCTCCTACTCTTCCTTCTCCAACATGTTCGCCTCCTCCTCTTCCTCCTCCTTCGCAGCCAGTCTGGCTCAAGAGAGGCCCACTCACGCGCAGCTCACCCGCCGAACGTAGAGTCATTGCGGAGGGGATGTCCGCCGCAGCAAGGAAGTCCATGATGGCCGGAGAGTGCAAGGATCACCCGACCCATTTGCAGGCACGTGCAAACAAATTCTTCAACGAGGCTATGGGGATGTGGTCGGGGCTGGTGTCGACCGCGCTGCTTACTTTCGTACTGTTCTCCAGCTTCGACTTCTCATTCCTCTTGACGCTGTCGTCGCTGGTCAGCACGGCCAGCTTCGTCATGATGATAATCGTCATCGTCCGCCGCCAGTCTGTGGCGGGGGTCTCCCGGAAGATGATGGAATGCTACATGGTGGTGTTCTTGAGCAGGTTGGTGGCCATCCTGCCTTTCGAGGGCTATCTTCCCTTCGATAAGTCGGGCGATTGGCTGTACCAGAGCTGCGAAGGGTTCGGGTTTCTCGGCGCCGCCTTCATATGCTACTGCTGTCGGCGCTCGTACGCCAGCACCTACAACGCGAGCGTTGACGGCATCAACCACCTGTGGCTGCTGGCCCCGACTCTGGGAGTCGCGTGCGTTCTGCACACCAACTTGGACGATTACCTCCCCTGCGACATCGCGTGGGCATTCGCTTTGTACCTGGAGGCCGTCACGGTATTGCCGCAGCTTTTCATGTTCATGGAGGAGAAGAGCACGCAGCCACACACCTCTCATTTCCTGGCGGCGCAGGCCTTGGCAAAGTTGATGTCGTTTGCGTTCTGGGCATCCTCCTTCTCTGAGCTGGCGCACGAGGATCATCCTATCAATCAGTACGCCGGCCACTGGGTGGTCGTGGTGCAGCTGATTCAGCTGGTGATCATGGGAGACTTCGTCTATCATTACGTCCGCTGCGTCAGGAAGGGCATCCCCGTGTCGGAGATGATGCACTTTGTGGACGCCGTCTGAGAGGTGCTGGGGGCCCGTGGTGCTGCCGTGGACGCCGAACTGCCACGATTTTCCATAGCTCCAGTCGGCGCGACCGCCCCGCTTGCATGAGGGCCGGCTAAGACAACGGCGGCTTCCCCCCCAGCCCAACTCCCTGACTCCAGATCCGCCCTACTTTGGCTTTTTTCCCACTTGCAATTGCGTCGGAAATCCACCTATAAGAGGCCGAACAAGGGGGGCGGACATTCCTGCGCCCAACACCAAAATGGGGCGGAAGTACACGGAAGTAGGGCGGAAGCAGCAGCAGAAAAGCAGGGCGGAAACCGGCATCAGCGGGGCCCGACAAGGAAGGCGGAGATTCCAAGCCCCACTTACGAATTTTCCCACCCTGACTCCGGATCCGCCCTACTTTGGGGAACTTCGTAAGTGGGGCTTGGAATTTCCGCCTTACTTTTCAGGCCCCGCTGATGCCAGTTTCCGCCCTACTTTTCTGTGGCTGCTTCCGCCCCACTTCCGTGGATGTCCGCCCTATTCTATGTTGGGTGCAGAAAGTTCCGCCCCACTTTTTCGGCTTCTGATGGGTGGATTTCCGACGCAAGTTTAAGCTGGAAAAAAAGCCAAAGTAGGGCGGATCTGGAGTCAGGGAAGGCGGAAGTTCCAAGCCCCACTTTTACGAATTTCCCCAAAAAGCAGGGCGGCTCCGGAGTCAGGGCGGCCCGTTCTCGAGGCGGAGCCAGCCGCGGCGACGCGGAGCGTCGCCGCGGCTGGCGGAGGAGGAGGAGGAGGAGGAGGAGGAGGAGGAGGAGGAGGAGGAGGAGGAGGAGGCCCCCAGACCTTCTCTCGCGGAGCCGTGCGGGAGGAGCCGTTTTGTCTGCACCCGCGCCCTCCTCCGACGGGAGGCCGGCACGCCCCGCGGCGCCGCGCGACCCAGAGATCCAACGCATTGAAGAAATCCCGACGGAGGTTTCGCTCAATTTTCGGTCGCTATAGCGGCCCTCGCCGGGCCCCGGGACTGTCAACAAGACGACTCAGGATGAGAAACGTATTGAAGAAATCACGGCGGAGGTTTTTCTCGATTTTCGGCCTCTCGCGGCCCTCGCCGGGCCCCGGGACTGGCAAGAAACGACTCGGGATGAAAAACCGGTCCTGGGGAAGGGGTCGAGGCTTCTGGGGGCCCCGCGCAGAACAAAAATCGCGACGGCGGATCTCTGGGAGCGCCCCTCCCTCCGCCCACGGAGGCGCCGAGCCCACGTGGGCCAGAAGCCGCGCCGCCCCGCCGGCGCGCGCGCGCGCCCAGCGGCGTGCCGAAGCGGCTCCTCTGCCCGCTCGCCCACCTGCGGCCGGTGCGCGCCGTGCCGGCCGGCGGCGGCCCCGCCGCGCAGCCGCTTGAGGTTGCGACGCCGCCCGTGGCCCAGAGTCGGCCCGCCGTTGAGCGACCTGGCGTTCGCGGAACGGCCGACCGCTCAGGCTTGAGCGATGCCCGCGGTGTCCGGAACCGACGCCGGGGTCGACACGGCGCGACCGTGCCGTACACGACGACGGCGACGACGGCGACGGCGACGACGGCGGCGACGGCGACGGCGACGACGACGACGGCGACGACGACGACGACGGCGGCGGCGACGACGACGACGCAAACGCAGGCGCAAACGACCGGTGGCGGTGGTGGCGCAGTCTCTCTGCGTGGCGGCCAGCCCTGCCTCTCTCTCTCTCTCTCTCTCCGGGGGCACCTGGCTTGAAGTCGGGCCTGTCCCTCTACAGGGGGAATGTTCAAAAATAGGCTAAAACTAATCTGGGGGCGATGTTTTGACAATTTGTTGGTAGTTGGGGGGCATTTGGGTTTTTTTTTTTTTTTTGTTGAAATTTTCGTCCACAATCCGCCTGTAGGGGGACAGGCCCGACCTAAACCTGGCTGGCCGCTGGAAGAGCCCTCGGAGCCCATACCGCTACCCTTCTCTCGCTTTCTCCTTTTTGGGGCCTCCTGGGAAGCCTTTGGAAATTCTGGTCAGAGCACACTCGGCGAGATGGTCCAGGGAGTAGCGGTATCGGTACTTTTTGGTTTCCCTAGTGTGCGGGAACGGGTCGAAGTTTTTCGCCCTTTTCGGCGTCCTGGTGGCCAGCAGCTAGCGGAAATGTCACGTGGCGAAGAAGAGCGCCTGGCAGACATTCAAGAGACATCTCACACCTCCTCTCGTCGTGAACAGAAATCACGGCGGAAGGTTTTTCTGAATTTTCGTCCTCCGAGAGCCCCCCCAGGGCTCCGAGACCGTCAAGCAGCGGATCAGGATGATCAGCCAGTCCTGGGGGAAGGCATTGGGATCCAGGACACGCTTCCTTCATCATGCCAACCTTCTCCTCCGCCTCCTCCTCCTCCTCCTCCCGCTCCTCTTCCTCCTCTTCCTCCTCCTCCCGCTCCTCATCCTCCTCCTCCTCCTCCTCCTCCCGCGCCTCCTCCTCCTCCTCCTGCCTCCTCCTCCTCCTCCTCCTCCTCCTCCTCCTCCTCCTCCTCCTTCTCCTTCTCCTCCTCTCCGCCTCCTCCTCCTCCTCCTCCTCCTCCTCCTCCTCTCCTCCTCCTCTCCTTCCCCCTCCTCCTCCTCCTCCTCCTCCTCCTCCTGCTCCTGCTCCTGCTCCCTCCCTCCTCCTCCTCTCCTCCTCCTCGCTCCTCCTCCTCCTCCTCCTCCTCCTCCTCCTCCTCCTCCTCCCCTGGAGGCAGGAGAAGCGCCGGCACAACCCACCAGGGATATATGCCGCCTCCAGGGAGGAGGTCCACGAGGAAATTCCCGCGTCGTGGACGACAAAATTCACGGCGCCGTGGACGATAAGATTCGTGGACGATAAATTCACGATATAAAAATCGTGGACGATAGAATTCACACTAAAACTCGTGAACGATAGACTTCACGGCGGGAGCCGCTTTCCAGACCCGGCACACCACGGCCCGGGATGAGAAAGCAGTCCCGCCTGGGATGAGTCCCGTGGAGTAGGTCCAGTCTTCCGGGGGCCCCCGTTGTCAGAAATCACGCGCTCGGAGGTCTGGGATTGCCGTGGCCCTCCCTCCCCCCCCCCGCTACTCGGAGCTCCTCTCCCCTCCCTCCCTCCCCCCCTCCCTCCCTCCCCCCCCCTCCCAGCGGGGCCCCGACACGAAGATGTCCGACAGGAGGTGCCCACCCCTCCCTCCCTCCCTCCCTCCTCCTCTCCTCCTCCTACTCCTCCTCCTCCTCCTCCTCCTGTCCTCCTCCTCCTCCTCCTTCCTCCTCCTCCTCCTCCTCCTCCCCCTCCTCCTCCTCCTCCTCCTCCTCCTCCTCTCCTCCTCCTCCTCCTCCTCCCTCCTCCTCCTCCTCCTCCTCCTCCTCTCCTCCTCCTCTCCTCCTCCATCCTCCTCCTCTCCTCCTCCTCCTCCTCCTCCTCCTCCTCCTCCTCCTCCTCCCCTCCTCCTCCTCCTCCTCCTCCTCCTCCTCCTCCTCCTCCCCTCCTCCTCCTCCTCCTCTCTCCTCCTCCTCCTCCCCCCCCCCCCTCCGACAGGCGGCTGCTGCGGAGCCGGCGAGCGGTGGGGCGCGGCCGCGCCGGGCGCATGCGCCGCGGCCACGCCCGAGGAGGGCGCGTCTCGCCGCCGTGCGGCGCCACGGCCCTCTCTTCGGTGCCGCCGCCGCCGACGCCTCCGACGGCGCCGAGCCGGCCGCGCCGGCGACGCCGAGCTGTCGGCGGCGGCGGCGGCGTCGGCGAGCCGTCGGCATCGGCGGCAGCGCCGGCGGCGGCGTCGGCATCGGCGGCGTCGTCGGCTTTGCGCTGTCGGCGCCGTCGCAGGAGGGGAGGAGGACGGGGGCAGGTCGAGTTGGCGTCAAGCGCGAGCACCTCTGCGGGGCCCGCAGCCAGCCTGAGGCCAGCGCCGCCAGAGAATGAGTACCGCGGGCGCACCGGATAATACACCGGCATGCAAACGGGTGCCCCGGTCTGTTTTCAACATGTGGTTCTCGCCTAGCTAGGGGAGAGATGAGTCCAGCGCAGATCCAAGAAATCCGCGCGGACCTCCGAGTTTTTATGTTATGTCATGTTTCGTTCCCCCTTTAGCGCCGCGCGCATTCGTCCAGTTTGCAGCAGCTTCCAGGATGATGAGTGGCCTTTGCAATATGTAGCTCACGCCTCAGGGTCGCGCACACCGGCCCTTACAGTTTGAAGGACTTTCAAGGGATCGCATGGTTGAAGAGCCAGGAGCTGCGTCCGGGTAAGATTTTTCATTGCCAGGACGTAATAGTCACGCTTATTCGCGATATTGGAGTCTCAGGAATGGTGTACTGGCACCATTCAGGAGTGCCAAGACGCGACAATCACGTTGATTCGCGGCGTTGAAGTCCGAGAGATGGCCTTTTTGCACGGTTGAGGATTATGAGAAGCTTGTTTTCCAATGGGGCACTTCCCGCAAAGAAAACACGTTCTTGTATGGGACCATGAAGAGAGAACCACGAGGTAGGGTTTACCGCAGCATCGTTGATGCGTCTTGGGTTTACACTGGTCCTTCTCCTCTTCCTCCTCCTCCTCTTCCTCCTCCTCTTTGCTCCTCGCTCCTCGCTCCTTCTCCCCGCCCTGCCCACCTCCTCCCCCCCGTCGCGCAGGCAGGGTGCGGTGCCCGCCCCAGGCACCCTGTCAACGGGGGCGTCGTGCGGCGCCGGCGGCGGTGAGCTGCCTCTGAGGGGGTCGACGGGCGGCTGCCGCGGCAGGCGGCGGCGGCGGCGGCACCAGCGGCAGCGATGGTCGCGGCCCGCGGCCGCAGCGATCGGCGGCAGCGGTGGCCCCCGCACCGCTCGCTCGCTCGCGGCCGCGCAGAGGAGCCCTGCGGCGGGCCGGTCGCCGCGCGCGCGGGCCCCCCCGGCTGGCGCGCCGCAGCGTGCGAGGGCTCTCTCGGGGGGGAGGGCCTCGCTGCCTCTGTCGCCGTCGCGGTCGCCGCCGCCTTCGTCGTCGCCGCCGCCGCCGCCGCCGCCGTCGTCGTCGTCGTCGTCGTCGTCGTCGTCGTCGTCGTCGTCGTCGTCGTCGTCGTCGTCGTCGTCGTCGTCGTCATCGTCCCTGCTCCCTGCTCCGCCTCCCTGCTCCGTCATGCGGCCACCACCTCGGACAGCGTGACGGGGTGATGGACGGCGACGGCGACGGCGATGATGACGGCGGCGATGGCCGCCGCGGAGGCGGCGGCTACGACGACCGCGACAAAGGCTGCGACCACCACCACGGCGACGGCGACGACGGTCACCACCACCACGGCGGCGACGGTGGCGACGACAACGGTGGCGACGGCGTCGAGGGCGGAGTTGGGCAGCTTGCGGGGGAGAGGTGCCTCCTGGCTCTGGCAGCAGCACGCGGCGCGGGCGGCGCAGGAGTGGGACGCGGGCGCGCCA